GTTTTGAGCCAAAAGTTAATATGAATTTAAAAGAAAATAGCATATGGAGTGGTGTGAATAGAAAGAGAATAACACCTTTGCATCATATTTTTGAAGTTGCATTATTTCGGGAGCCATGTACAATGGCGACCCACATAGAGTTTCTGCAAGCACCCTAGGCTGCAAAGATCTGACAAGAGAGAATGGTAATTTTGAGCAGACAGCTTAGGAGAACCTTTAACTCTAAGGCTGCAAATCTTAAAACAGAAGGGAAGGATGAAAGAGAATCTAGCAAATGTGGTTTCTGAAAGAGATGAAAAATGTTAGATAAAAGACCTTCTCCAGGGAAGGGGGACATTAGGAGAGTGACATTTCTGACAGTGTACTACAACTTACCTTGCAAACCCAAAATCAGCAATCTTCAAGGTGGAGTTATCATCAGTTGTAGACAATAGAAGATTCTGTAGGATCAAGGCAAAGGACACAAGTCAATGAGTTGACAGTTCCACCAAACGACAATTCAAATTCTTAGAAGTTTCCAGAATAACTTGTCTCCGAAAGAAAGAAAGAAAGAATTACTACCAAAAAAAGACTATTTACTCCTACAAAACCACACATTGGTTCCCCTCCCTCAACTAAGATGTACCAAATTGAAGATAAAAATGTCACTATATTTGTTAGTAGACAGTCGTCTCCTTGGATTATATGGAGTAACATGGTCAATATGGATACATATAGCCGACCTAACTAGTTTGGGATTTCATCTCCTAAATACCTTCCTTTTCTTGGGTGTGTGTGTATATATTTATATATTTATATATATATAGATTAATGAGTTAATAATAAGAAACCTAGACTAGAGAAATCAGAAATATAATTAGCTATTCAAGAATAAGGCAATTGCACACCTTGGTCACCCGTAAGTCATGCAAGTATTTCCAACAATTCAATTGTTACTTTTAGTTTCTTCAAATCATTAGCTACTAGGATCTGGTTATCAATATAGTAGATGGCTTCAGACAGAACAAGGCCGCTGCTACTTGGTAATGTCAAATTATTAGTAAACGAATGATAGTCTCTTTGCTGCTGTCATTTTTCTAATATTTATACACAGAAAAAAACTACAATGGTAGACATTACATGGTCATGACCTTAAAATGAGAATTTCTGGAAAGGAACATACCAGCACCTAATGCTCATCCTTAGACAAAAAACAATTAAAATTCATAAGTTCAAATTTGTAGCTTGGTCTGTCAAGGCAACCACCAAAGCAAACTAAATTTTGAGCATAATTCACGAAAGAAAGCAAACCTGAGGCTTTAGGTCCCTGTGGATTAGATTGTTTTCGCGAAGGACTTTTAGACCAGATGCTGTGGCATGATATGAAAATGAATATTACCAAGCGGAATTCATCTAGAAAAGAATAATTAGTCTAAAGTGAATACAGGAAAATAGGCAAAAGAAAATAGAAGCTTTACAGTTTACACAAACCTAGTTGCTGCATGAAATGTTTGGCAGTTGCTTCGGCAATTCTCCCTTGGCGTCGTTGTATGTACATTGATAGATCACCCCCTCTGCAGTACTCTAAAACAATATATATTTTCCCCGGATCCTATAACCCATGCACGTGAGGGTTCATTTAGATAAGAAGCAAAAGAACATATATGAAGGTCAGAAAAACATTTTTGTTTCTCTTTTAAGCAATCATAAAGATAGTAACAAATGCAACTCCAAATAGTAAATATACAGTTCCAAATTTACACTAATATCAAAAAAGGATATACTATTTATCCATAGCTACACATAAGTGCTGAATTATTAATCGTCATTTGGAGATTAAAAGGAGAAAGAGCACAGCAAGTTACCGTTACACTTCAAGAAGGGAAAGCTACTCTATACAGTGGGAGTTAAATGCCCCTTACACAAGTTAGATACTTCCTCGTAATTTCAAATTGTTACTAGCCTCTTTCACCAAGCTTCTCTGAGGTCAAAAGTTCTTTTTTTTTAAAAAAAATGTCAATATTAGTGATTAGCCAAACTTCTAGGGAAAATGTAAGGGGTCGTTTAGTAGCTGCTTGGATGTGAGTTACGTAGGTAATATATCTTGCATAAGTACTATCACATTTGGTAGCTGGCATAAGTAATATCACCTTTGGTGGCTGGTTAGGGATAAGTTGTTCATGTTACTAATACAGTGTTTGATTTGCAATTTAGAAACTCGAATAACGATACTAATATAAGTAACGAGGGAATCTATGTATCATTTATGTAAACTAGAAAGTGCAATAATTAAATCTTGCCTAACTAATACCAAAACTAATACATAGATTCACTCAAAACTAGTCTCTATATTACTAAGACATGCATAACTCTAACCAGCTACCACAAACTATCCATAAGCTTTTTCGAGTAGTAGCACAAACAAATTTGTTCAACTAAATATGCAGTACACACAATGAAATTGAATTGAGTAGAGTAGGACCTCGATCATGTCGTGCAAGTGAATAATATTAGGATGACTAATCCTCTGTAGAATAACAATTTCAGATTTGAGGCTCTCTTTGAGTTTACTGTTGAGCCGAGCAGTAACAATCTCCTTGATCGCCACTTCTGTGCCATTGACACGGTGGCGCGCTAGCCACACCGTCGAAAAAGACCCAGCCCCGATTTGCTTCTGAACAACATAGTCCCTAATCACAAATTCCCCGCCTCTGCTCGTCGATTGATCCATCACACCTGCTAATATCCCCAAACCCTAACAATCCGAAGAAATCAAATTGATATTCAGATTATGCCAATTTCAGAATAAATCAAATTCAAGGTTTTTTGTATCGAACTCTTCGCAGAGAGGCGTAGATGAATTGGTGATAATTCAGATAATCAGCGACGAATTCTGGTGATTTTGATTAAAGATAATGAAAAGCTTGAAGAGAGATATCAATGGAATTCTTCATCTTCTTTTTATCAGTGTTTGTGTTGGACTTGGAAGTTTGATGTTAGTGTGCCGTGTCAGGGTGCAGCGGGTCAACATACATATTTGCACTTAATTTACGTTATTTATGTGAATCACCTAAATTTATTTATGCATGAAATTTTTTTAAAATACCATGCTCATAATTAATAATCAACTTCATTAACCTTATATGAATGCTTTATCTATGGAAAAATAATAATAATCTGGAGTTCAATATTTATCTAATTAACTCATAAAATAGGAGTAAAGAGAAGAATTTGAAGATATAATGGTGCCACTTTTTTATTTAATAGGCAGGCTTAATGAAAAGGGGAAAATTATATAGTTAAATAAATTTATATTATTTAATTAGTCATTATAATTATTATTTGTAATTAACATTAACTATTAATTACGTGAGCTTGTTTCGAATTTATATAATTCGTTATATTTCTATAATTCACAATTAATAATTTTTCGTTTAATTTTTATTTGTGTAGGATGATTTATATTTTATATATGGCGATGATTTTCTTTGATTTTTTCAGTTTTATCACCATATACATTCAATCTTTTTTTTATATAACTTTTAAAATTTGTATAAATATATAGATTTTAAATTTTGTGTGATATAATTTATGTAATGTAATTTATATAACTGATTGTTTAAAGTTCATATGTTTATATTTGCATCAATTTATAAATTCAAGCTTTGTCATATTTATATGATTCCACACTTTGTATACTCAATTATACAAAACACGTGAATTATACAAAAGTACCTGCAAATTATACAAACGAGATGTGAAATATATAAATTATTGTCCTCTCTCTTCACCTCTCTCCTCCCTCTCCCAATCTAGCTCGTCTTTCTCAACCCTCTCCCAATATATATACTATTTAGATACAATTTGTCTCTCTTCGCTCTCTGCCCTCTCCCGCTCGCCAGGTGTACAAATACATATATATACAATTTACATACAATTCATCTCTCTTTGTTCTCTGCCCTCTCTCGCTTACCCCTCTTCTCCCTCTCCCAATCTCGCTCGCCACGCTCCTCTCTATAACATGTAACTATGAATTATAATTAGCAAATTATAACTGTATAAAATAATTTAAGCTATTTTTGAGCAGCGATATATAAAAATTCCCCAATTAAAAATAAGATATACATACTAATCAATAAAGAAATACGAAATTCTAGCCATGTGATGCTTCATAGGCTCATAGCTAAGGAATTAAAATCAAAGATCAAAAGAAAGTTTTTGATGAAATTGAAATTATATAACTAAATAATCTAATATAAAATTTCACATCTCCCTAGCTATCACAGTGAAAGTAAAACTTGGAATCATCTTTGCTAAGAAGACGGTACGTAATCAACACAACTTTTACGATATAAGAAAATATATAAAATTAAATTAGTGTATGCATGGGATAAGTCTTTACTCATCACAATAACTCACAACTTTTACGTAAATAATTAATTCATATTGAATACTCGATTGATGAACATTTCAATCATATTTTGAAAATTCTAAAATAATAATTCAAGCATAAACTTTTTGAAATAAATAAATATCACTACAGCAATTTGATTTGAATTTAATCAAATAATAAATCAAGAAACTCGTCCACATGTGTCTGGGTGGTGTAGTCGGTTATCACGCTAGTCTCACACACTAGAGGTCCCCGGTTCGAACCCGGGCTCAGACATTTTTATATTTTCTGTGGTTTCCACTCAGTTCTTGGAGCTCCGATTAAATCTAGACCCGAAAACTCATAAAGTGCTTCCAAAAACTCATACAATGCCCTTTTTTGTGGTTTTTCACTCGGTGTTTGGAGCTCCGACTTAATCTAGATCACGTACTACAGGGCCTATTCAGCTTATCGAAAATATCGTACCGTGCTTTTTAACTTTCCATTTTTGTTTCACACTCGACGTTCAGAGCCCATACTAGAGCTTTAATTAAATTTGAATTGACACTAATTTTAATTTTATTTCTCACTTAGTATTCGGAGAATCAAAACCCGCTCATATTAGAGCTCCTTCTAACTCCAACTCACGCACTATGTCACATTTCAAGGTGCACTTCTAATCAATTTTTTTTTTTATACTCACCGCTCGAACTTGAAAAGCAAAAGCAATCCGACCAACACTTCACCACAACCCTGGTTAGGTTGGTTTTATAACTTTCATCTTCATCATTCGTGCACCATATTAAAAAAATTCAAACCATTTTACTACTCTCCGCAGAGCTGAACCCTTAAAGACTTCAGTCGCTTTTTCCCCTTGCTTTGTGTCCGGTGAATTCTAGGGTTTCGCCTATTCTTCAACAATGGATTGGGGAACTGTAACCACAGAGGATCTAATTGAGGCTTTACGCGAAGTCGAGTGGTCATCTCCACCACGTCCCTTCTCTGAATTCTTCTCTCGCTTCACTTTCCCCCGATCTTATTCCAAATGGAACAGTCGACTCAAGTGTAATCTCTACTAGTACGTTCTCTTCATTGGCAATTCAATGCAGTAATTAGGTTTTTTTTTTCTGAATTGCATTTAAAATGTTTTTTTTTAAAAAAAAATCTTTTGCAGTTACAGGACGAATTACTTTATTATGATTGTGGCTATTCTTGGTAAGGAAGGATTATTGAGTTATGTATATGAACTTTGGCTTTACAGTGTTTATTTTGGAGCTCATAAGTACATTCATTTGCATTTTGTATTGCAGCATTGGGGTTTCTAAGGAAGCCACTTGCAATTGTTGCTGCGCTTTTGACAGCGCTTAGTATTGCTTTTCTAAATGACAGGTATTCTATTCTGATCTGCTGGTGGTTTTTTGCCATTAGAGTTTTAGTTTACATACTATTTGCCTATATCTTGTAATGTTGCCTTCGCTTTTCTAAGGTCAAATGTGGGGGAGAGGGTAAATGGTTAGATTAAAACAATGTGAAGGAGGGGGGTGAGGGCTGATATGGGTAAAGAGGTTGGATCTTTTCACGAGTCCGCGAAAAAGCCAGCTTGGATCAAATGCACTAGGTGGAACTTCATTATCAAAGGAAGGCAAATATGATTTGAATGGGTAACGACAAGGGTGTTTCTCTGACTAACTCAATCGGCAAGCAAAGTTAAGGGATGTCAATACTCAATAGGCAAGTGGAAAAAATTGAACCTTTTCCAGATAGAGTAATACCTTGGCTTAGTCGTGCAACCAATGAAATATTTTCAAATTTTTTGTTAAGACATGGGATGTGGATCATCTTGAATGGTGGAGTAACCAGAGGCGAATCCATGATTAGAAGTCTTTGTGTGCACCAATCTAAACTTAAAATAAAAACAACAAAATATGGCTTTATCTGGATTCGAACCTTGGTCTCATGAGTGGTACCTTTGGCTTGTACCAGCGGCACAAGGCACTCCTATGCTACTCATAAGTGCACTTTTAATTGTATCCTGTTTGTTAATTATATCCTAGTTTCTACCAGTTTCCCAAGATAGATATACATATTTACACATGATTTTTTCTGAAGTTAACAGGTGCATATGCCCCCCAACTTTACATGTGGGTTCGCCTATGGGGTTAACACCTTTTGACATCTATGTCCTTGATCCACTCGTCTTTTTTGTTATGCTTTTGTGAAGGTTATTTATATTCTCTTTTATTTGAATTAAACTTGATGCATTTCCAAACTGTTTATTCATAAAATTTCAAATTCTCCTATCTATCATAGGGTTAAAAGTTAGCCTTCGTAGCTGTGAGTTATTTTTCTTTGAGGCTTTAAAATTGTAGTAGGTTGACAGGATAGTCTTTTGGTTTGGTCTACGAGTAAATAATACCCTTCTGATGCAGGGATGTAGTAGTGAAGTAAATGATTTTTTCATTCGTGACACATTAGCGTACCCTGCCCTCCATATGGAGAGAAAATGACGCAAGTCATTTGGACTTCTTGAAATTTTTCTATGTATTTCCCCTGGTCAATAATAATTCTTTCATATTAGAAGGAAAAACGCTCATGTTAGCTTGTCACTTCAGGTTTTCTGGTTATGCATCAATAGCTAGAAGAATAACCGATTCCAACTGTCTATTGGATATACTAATCTGTTTGTTAGAGAATGCACGTCAAATGAATTTTGCCACCTAACGTTAAAGTACAGATGTATGTCTTAACTGTTTTTTTTCCCAGTATAACATGGCTATTGCATATGACACAAATGCCATGATAGACTTTTTGAGTTCAATACGTAATTTTATTGGCATTTTTCCTGAAAATACTTCATAGAACATTCTTGATGCTGGATATTTGAATATATTATCTTTAATAATAAAAAAAATAAAATTTCCACCGAAGAAATAAGGTTTTTGATAACTGCGTTCAGACTTTATTCCTGTATCTTTTAATGTTGTTAAGGATTGTTCCTGCAGTTTTGCAGGTACTTTTAGTGAAAAAGTGACAAGAACTGTCAGACAGTTTTCACCTCATTTAGCTGCAAAAATGAGGCCTGCACTCACGTAAGTATGCATGTACATTTGACTTCTTAAGCACACTGAGGCTGTATCTCTGATGACATATATTTGATAATTCTCAGGCCGGTTATTCGAGGGCGTCCATCCACTAAAAGAGCAATATTCATTTGCGGAAGGCCTCGTTGGGTGTTTGTCTTTGTATTCTCTATAGGTACTGGAAGTGTTTGTTCTAGTTTATGTTTTCTATCTTCCTTTCTCTTCTTTACTTTCATGTTGTATCTTTGGGAGCTGTAATCTGAAATTCTGTTTGATACTGTTGTGCAATTATGCAGTGAGTTTCTTCCTCTGGTTTGTTTCCTGTGGCCTCTTAACCGTTCTTTGGGCTTTTGGCATAGGTCTTCTTGGTGAGTTCTCTCTTCTTATTGTAATTTTGTTTTTTTGTTCAAATTCTATGTTATGATTGAATAAAACTCTGTTCTTTCTCTCTCTTTCAGCCACTCTTGCTCATGCAAGCTTCAGGAGTCCTAATTTGAAGGCTCGCCTCAATACATTTCGTGAAGAATTCCGAGCTGTCTGGCGCAACTATAGTGAGCTGTAGCTTCAGTTGAGTTCCGCTTGCTCTGCCAATCTGCAATTAGATGTACTGATTCACTCATTGTATTTTTCGTTGGCTTTATCTGTAAATTAGCATTGTCTAATCAGCCTTGAAATAGTAACAAGTATGTGGTTCAGCAGTTTACATGCTTGTGGGATAAAGTCTGTTTTCCTTTCTCAAAAGAAAAGGAAAATACTTGTCGATCCTGTACTTCTGATTAAGAAATGCTTACCTACTTGATTAAGAAATTACTAGTGAAATGTTGATGTGATAGCCAAATGGATTGATCTGTTTAGTGGAAGTTTAGATATAAGCTAAAGATCATATGAACTACAACAAGGCATTGTTTTTGGTGTCTGTCTGAGATATTTGTATAGGAGTTAGCCGTACAATGTATTAGTTTCCTTTGTACCTATGCTATTACTAATTTCTGCAGTTTATATACATATTACGTTTAGGCATGTCTCTGGATTTCGGTCATAGTCTAGAGGGGTATATGCAATGTAAAAAATGTTCTGTTTTATGGGACTGTGGTTAGTCAGGACTTCAAAAAAGCAGCCCTAGAACCTGCTCCTAGTTCACTTAAAGGTCTTGTGTGAGAAGAAGTTGTCACTAGAGGATCTGATTGGCTTGTGGCTAGCTTTGTAACACATGACAAGAAAATAAAAAAAAACATGAGATAGTACTCCAACTCAATACAAACGTCCTCATAAAGTTTGTTTAAGAAAATAATTTTGATGCTCCAGACGTCAAATTCATAGGCTAATAGACACGACAAGTTGAAGAATTTGTCCTTATCTCAAACATTAATCTCAAAAGACAAGAATTACTATCTAGGCTAAAGGTGGCGATGAACATTTAGAAAATGAGAGGTGACAAATATTAATAATAAAATTCTTACTCCTCAAAAATAAATATTTCTTTAAACTAGCCTTTTAGATTGATGAGGTCACTACTATCATGTATATGGAACACTTGTATCACAAGTATACAAATACCTTTTTTGGGGGCTTCCAAGTGTGGTCATTTACGTATAGGTCTAACAATATTCTATCAGTAATTATTCAGTATCTCATACTTCCCAAATATAAAATTATTTGATGAAATTTTTTAGCGGACGTTTGATCATGAAAATATTTTCTTTATTTATAAATTTTTAAGTTTGAATAAGAGCTTGAGTTATGTTTAATCATAGTTTTCTTTTTTTAAAAAAAAAAATTAAAGTATTACACCTCCAATTTTTATGAACTAGCAAAATCACCAACTAAGCTAATTTATCTCAAACATCCAATTAAATTTGCTCTGAAAGAGTAATATCTATTCACAAAATGTCATTGATTATAAATTCTACAAGTACAAGCAACTCATTGCTGGTATTTTTTTTCTTCACTTTTTTGAAATTGAAGTTGAAGACGAAATTGTGTTTGGTTATGATTACAGTAAAATAATATTTTGGATCCTAAAAAAACATGAATTACGTGAATATGAAATAGAATTTAAAATGAAGTTATTTTTATCAAAATTAAAATTTTAGGGTAAATATGGAACAGAAAATATAATGAAAGTAAGAAAAAATGAATTAACAAAGTGAAAACAAATATTTGAATGTTAACATTTCTGAATTACAAATAACTTCAAATTTTATTAAAAAATTACACAGCCAAACAATGATTTTTATATAAAATTGTTTTTTTCTAAGAAAAAAAGTAAAAAATTTCACGGCATCTTGCGTAAGCAGAAAAAACTTGCCTTTCGTTAGTCTTTGTACGTAATTAGCGTTACTATCAGTTCAGTACAAATTAGCTGTAATAATAATTAAAGAAATGACCAACTCATTTTCACTTTTAGCTGCAATAGACTCAATTGTCGTTAAATTGTATTTTTTACGATAATAAAATACTTTGTATATATTCCTAAAACAATAATTTGAATATAATGATACTTAACTAATACTGGTAAAGACTTTTGCACTTTTTATTAATGTGTGTGTTTATTGCCACTAAAAGTTGTTTTAGTTATAATGTTTTGTTCCTTTTTTTTCTCGTTAGTATCAGAATCCAGCTAAATTTAGATATCTGGAGTGGCAGCATGCCACTCTTAACAGATTTTTTTTTAATTCTCCGTACTTGAATTCTAAACCTCTTATTAAGGATGCAACTATCTCGCTATCGTGCCACAAGCGTTGGTTATATATATACTATAATATATTAATTAAAAATTATTATAAAAAATTTATAATTTAAATTTTGAATTCGCCTCTAATATTATCGCCTTGGGGTTAAGGAGAAAGTGTCGGTATCAAAGATGACATGAATAATATCATGCGACTTGCTTATTGAGTTTTATATGATAATGTTTTGACTATAAATAATAATAATGTTGAAAGCATTTTTGAGCCGTAAAAATATAATGATAAATAAAACTAACGCATTTGGAATAGTCTATGAATATATTTGATTCCTCTCCCAAAAAGAAAAGAAAAATGTTTTTGAGCTATAAAAACATAGCGGAAAATAAGAATAATACACTTCGAATAGTTCATAGATTTGACCCCATAGCAGCACAAACACAATTATCTCATTAGAAATATGTCTTGAAATTGTATATTAAAATTTGAAACTTTATGATATAGCATATTTTATATAATATTAAGTAGTAATAACAAATATGTGTATTCATAATCAACATTCTATATAAATGTCATTAAAGGTGTTAGCAACTCTAAAAATAATGTCATTAACTCAATTAGCTGCTAAAGAAAAATCTATTGTCACCAACGTTAGTTCCCTGTATTTCTCTATTTCTTATTATCTCTTTCGCTAGTTTATTAGAACTCTATTTTATGTAGTGATTATCATCATAAACATCTTGTAAAGCAAAATATGTATACCATAGAAAAAAAGATCAAAGGTGCATAATAGTAATAATAATATGCTCCCTCCGTCCCTATTTAATTGTCCACTTTAGAAGTGATATACATATTAAGGCACCAATTATTATTATAGATTAGTTACAAGTTTACCCTTAACTTAAAAGATTATGCAACTCCCCAAGTATAATATATGTATATTCTGGTTTTAAAAATCATGCATTACAATTTAGCATTACTAGAATTTTTCTAGAATTAGATAAGGACATATTAGAAAAAAAAATATTGTCCTTTCTTGATTTGTTAAAATAAACAAGTAAATAGAAACAGATAGAAAAAGAAATATGAATAAGTAAATAGTTTTGTTTCTTTGTAATACTCATGAGTAGGTTGAAATGTCCAATTAACAAGAAATAAAAACATGGGGCGGCAAACAAAAATTAGAGCATTGAAAATAATTGTGAATACAATGAATCCTACCACTCAAAATTAATTCATTTGGTGACCTTAAATTCTTTATAAAATAATTAATCTTCACTGTTTTCTTAATGAATTAATGGACAAAAGTACAAATGAGGAAGCCGTTGACATATTAAAGTCATATATAAAATATTTTGTTGACTTTGCATTTTTTGTTCTCTAATTAAAGCGTGCAAGAATATAAATTTTGTTCAGCTTTCTATGATATTATAAGTTTAATTTAACCAAAACCTCAAATAATTCATATATAGTCAGCCCTCTTATTGTACGTTCATGTATTTATTTATTATTTACATTGAATTCTTTTTCTTCTTTGATGACTCGAATCTGCCTACTACGATAATTTACAATCATCAATATAAAGAGGTGTATCAAATTAAATAAGAATGTTTAGAGTCTAGCTAAAGCAAATTACAAATCTTCCTTTTTCTAAAAAAAATTGAGCTGATCTAAATGTGAATGCAGTTAGTAAAACCTTTTTATAACAATTATTCTATATTTATTAGAACGATCAAGTTTTCTTTATTACTGACTTTCAAATTATGTTATATTATGTATTCTTTATAATTAAAACGTCCCAAAATAAATTCAGCTAAACGATAATGTTATAAAAAAAAAATTAACGATAAAACTCAATGTGTGTCTGCAATAAGTCCAGAATAATCATATTTTGTGCTTTCTGCTTCAACGTTTTAATTCTGACCGTAGAATATCAGTTGACACGTCAAAATTATAGAGCTGAGCTAGTCTTCGATTAATAAATAAGCCTCCTCTTTATTATCAGTTTAAACTTTTAGATGGATCGATAACTAACATATAACATGGTTCAATCAATTCACAAAACCCTAGAAGCGTGGACCACCTCACATTGGAAATGATTTTTTTTTTAGACACAAAAGAAAATTAACAAGGAGTAAAATATTTCGATAGGACATAAGTGTCAACTTGCTGGTGGTAAAGAAAGATAATTTCATATTATATTAATTATAGTCGTGATATATGATTATAAATCATCTTAATTAATACGAAATCAAGCATGCTTGTCAATTATAAAACTCTCATTCTTTGCCGACCATGACCTCTTCTCTTAATTCATGTTAATCTCATCTTAATTCATCTTCTTCACATCATTAATTAATCCTATGGAGAAATTCAACCAAATTATACCATGGAGCTCAGAGGAACTACTAGGTTTAGGTCATGTTAATAAGTTTTATAGGTGTAGTTTTTGTAAAAGAGGTTTTTCAAATGCACAAGCATTAGGTGGACATATGAATATTCATAGAAGAGATAGAGCAAGGCTTAGAGAATTTTCAAGTGATCAAAATTTGCTTTCTTTGGATATTAACAACTCCGTTTATCCTCCTCCTCCTCCTGGAAATGATGACTTGTTGCAACGAGATAATGAGGGAATAATTAGTAGCCCCTCGAAAAGGCCATGTGTTATGGTGAGTTGTGATCATAACCCTCCTCATCCTCCTCCTCCTCCTCTTGCTCTTCCTCATGATGTCTTGTTGCAACGAGAAGAATCATCATATGGTGAAAAAACTATTAGTAGCCCCTCGAAAAGGTCATGTGTTAAGGTGAGTTGTGATCATAATCCTCCTCCTCTTATTCCTCCACATGATGTCTTGTTGCAACAAGAAGAATCATCATATGGTGAAAAAACTATTAGTAGGCCCTCGAAAAGGCCATGTGTTATGGTGAGTTGTGATCATAACCCTCCTCATCCTCATCCTCATCCTCTTGCGCTTCCTCATGATGTCTCGTTGCAACGAGAAGAATCATCATATGGTGAAACAACTATAAGTAGCTCCTCGAAAAGGCCATGTTTTACATATGATCAAGAAAAGGATCATTATGATCATAATCTTTCTCTTGTAAATTGTGATTTGTTCCAACGAGAGGTATCATCAAACGATGAGACAATAATTAGTAGCTACTCGAAAAGGCTATGTGTTACATATGATGAAGAGAATGATCATCTAATTACATCCAAGGTTAATCATTATGATCATAATCAAGAAGTGATTATTGGAGATCATTTGCAATTACCTTTATTTAAAGAGACTCCATTAGTTAAAGAAGCAAGCAATTGTATGGAAAATGGGAAATTAGAAAACAAGGGCATGGAGCAAAATCATGTGTCAATATTGGATCTTGAGCTTCGGTTAGGGATGGACTCGACAGACACAGATCCACGATTTGAACTTCATAAGTTATGAATTTTAAGTTCATGTGATCTAAGTTTACATATTCAACGAATTTCTCAACAAATATACACAGCTTTGACTTCAGGTTAAAGTATTGAGTTACATCGAATCGAGAGTTATAATTTATTATAAGATGTTGATCAAGTATACTTTCTAGAATCCATCAAAGAGGTACTTTTCTTTACTCATCCTTACAACTTCCCTCTTTTTAATTTATTTTATTTTCAATATGTAATTTTTATTTAAGCTAAATGATCAAAATCAACAAAAACATATTTTATTTTGTTATTTTTCTCTCTTTTCCTAAACCTTAAACATTTGGTAAGTAAGCATACTTGTATTCCTATACTAAAAAAGATGTTTAATTCATGTTATATATTTTGGATCACAAATAGTTTTCTTGAAGTTTAGGTGTACTAACTCTAATGCTCTTTATAGAAAGAAAATGTGATGTCTATATCTATAATAATATTTCTTTGTTCCTTTTTGTTTTGTTTTGTTAATTTTACTTTTCTTTGTTATTATTTTGAAGATAGAAAGTAAAACATAGTCTAAATCAATGATAATATTGTTCTAAGTTTTGGGTGAAAGAACACTTTTCAGTTAATGAAATTCTTGTGAAAACAAATGACTTAAAATATTTCTCTCATAGCTTATAATAAGAACAATAACATATTCAGTATATTTTCACAAATTAAATCCGAAGATGATAATAGATATGAAATTTTTTTTATCATGTAATGATTGCGAAGGACATAACCTATGTTTAACACTAAAAGGTGGCTCCTCATTTAGCCCTTTAATTCTGGTTCAAAAATCAGACTTTTTTTTGACTTTGTATGTGATTAAAGTTTCATTCTTGAAATATAGCAATCAACAAATGAAAATATGAAGATCTCCTTATATAGTTAATTATGAGTTAGAGTTTGAGGGTATTTCGGTTTTAAGTAATTTTAGCGAGACCTTGAGTTTGAAGAGCATGAGTTGGGTTCGTCTTGCCAATTTAATGGACTGACTCAAATGTAATTTGGACTTTATTTAAGTCATATAATATTGATTTAAAATCGAAAAAAATTATCTAAATACACAACTTATGTTACCATATTCACTAAAATCTCTACCATTTGAAAAATTACAAAAACTCCCTATCAAGATGCATCACTTTATGTGATATATCAGGATATACACAATGTATTGAGATGTTGAGTGATGTATCCAATATTTAGACACAATGTATTAAGACGTATAGGGATGTATCTGAAATCAGAACATGATGTATTGAGACGTTTTGAGATGTATCCGAATTCCACCAAATTTAAGGGATTTTCATGATTTGAAAAAGATTAGAGATATAATGTAATTAGCATTTAACAATATTGATTTGTGTAGAACTCCCTAAACATTAATCTGACTTTATCATGTAATTGGTTTTGATCAATATATAAATGAATTTACATTATGAATTAATCCAAAAATTAATATGAATTTATTAATAAAATTCGAGGGAGTACAACGAAGTTTGGAAAAAACAACTTTAGTTTGGTTATTTTTTTTTAGTTAAAAAAAAAGACATATAAGGGTATTTTATGAATTGAGATAATTCATTTAACTATTTTATATCTTTTATAGGAAAGTTAGATTCCTATCATTACTACAAAACATATTTTGAGATTAATTAATATTCATAATCAAATACAAAATAAAATATTTCACATCTTATAGATTATTATTCCTTATTTCACCTATCAAAATATATTTCGAAACTTATTAATGTTTAGAGAGGTTTTGTTAAACTTGTACACATTATGCACAATGGTGGAACCATTTTTGAAATGATTAAATTCTAATTAAAGTAGAGATTTAAATTCTAACACCCTCAAAAAAAGCTTAAGCCGACCTACTATATGTCTGCCTAATCCTCTATGATGAATAAATTGTGCCACTTCTTAAATATTCTACATATTTTACTACGTGCTAATTGCTAAAAATGTACAAAGTTAATGCACATAAAAATAATATTCCAATAAATTTGAAATATAGATAGTCCCTTTTCTTCTATTGAAAAAATGGTAAGTAAATTTTAGGTTTAACAAATATAAAAATTATATTAATATGTTATAGTCATAGTTTGTATAATTGCTCTCTATAGTAAACTTCAAGTTTGTTATGAAGCATCAGATTTGTATAAACCATTGTCAGTCTCTCGCTTGTATAAAACATAGTGTTTGTACATGTATATCGATTAGATAATTGTATATATGTAACTATTATGTATATGTATCAATGATTGTATTTGTATATCTGCATAAAATTTAAGTTTATATACAATTGAATTGGAATGAAACATTTGTATATCAAATATATATATATCTCACTTTATACAACACAAATTATACATTGTAATTTTGCATAATTTGTGTTGGTATAAAGCGAGAAAGAGAGAAAGGAAAAAAAGAGAACTGGTAGAGAAGATCCGTATTTGTATAATTATAAGTGTATAGTACGAAAATAAATATATATTTTTTTTACATACATTTTTTTTGCTTTATAAAAACACAAACACAAATTATACATTTGTCTTTGTATAAAATGAGATAGGCGAGGAAAAGTGGCGTGCGAGCTCTGGAAGAGCGACAAGCAAGATTCGCTGTGAGAGAGGTGAATAACAACTATTTGTACATGTTACAATCAAATGTAATTGTGGTTATAACATTTAATTTCAATTTATAATTTATTATTTTATAAAATTTTACCAAAAATAAATAGGTAGGTGCCAAACTTCCTAGCTCTTACAAGAAGCATATTAATTTTGTCAATTACTCTTATTCATTTATATATAGAGAATTGTATAGAAGTTACTTCTTCTATGCTTTTCTCTTGAACAACTTACTCAAATTAAGCTAAGAAAAAGATGGCGATAACGACGTTTCCTATGATCGAAAAATGTACATCGATCGATCGAGAGAATGACATAGTTGTAACGGACTTGGATGGAACATTACTTCGTGGTAGAAACTCTTTTGCTTATTTCGCATTGGTAGCTTTCGATGTTGATGGGGTGTTAAGGTTACTATTTCTTCTCTTAGCTTCACCTATCGCGGGTATTCTTTATTATTTCATCTCAGAGTCTGCTGGAATACAAGTTATTGTCTTTGCTACTTTTGTAGGGATGAAGGTTTTCAATATAGAATCAGCAGCACGAAACGTGCTACCAAAATTCTATTCAGAAGACCTTCATCCCGAGTCTTGGAGAGTGTTCTCATCGTGTGGGAAACGTTGTGTTTTGACTGCCACCCCTAGGATAATGGTGGAGCCCTTTTTGAAGGACTACTTAGGAACGGATATTGTTTTAGGGACTGAGATTGAAACATATAAAGGTAGAGCGACTGGCTTTGTTAGACCACCCGGAGTTCTTGTTGGGAAGAACAAAGCTGATACTCTTACGAGCACTTTTGGAGATACTCAACCTGAGATTGGCTTGGGTGATCGCGATACTGACATTCCTTTTATGACATTGTGTAAGGAAGGATACTTTGTACCTTCAAACCTAAAAGTAAACGCGGTAAGTACAAAAGTACTTCCCAAGCCTGTTATATTCTATGATGGTCGTTTCATCAAAAAGCTAACCCCACTAATCTCTCTCCTCGTCATTCTTTGGATCCCATTAGGGTTTCTTCTTGCATGTGTGCGTCTCAGTGTCATGTCATTCCTCCCTGTACCTCTTCAATACTACGCGTTTTTGGCCACTGGCATTCGTCTAATCATTAATGGAATCCCACCATTACATATCAAGAAATCCAAAGGTCTACTCTTTGTTTGTTGTCACAAGACGATCCTTGACAACATTTTTCTCTCTGTTGCATTGGATCGTTCTGTTCCAGTCGTTACATACTCTACTTCACGGTTTCTCAACATTTTTTCACCCATTAAAACTATAACACTCACTAGAGATCGAGCATTTGATGCTTCCATGATCAAAAAATTGTTAAAACAGCGCGATCTCACAATTTTCCCTGAGGGGACTACGAGTCGTGGACAATTTCTTCTTAGGTTTTCTTCATTATTTGCTGAAATTACCAATGAGATTGTGCCTGTGGCAATAGAGGCTAAGATGAGCATGTTTCATGGCACAACGACGCGAGGATGGAAATGGATGGATCCATTTTTCTTTCTGATGAATCCACGTCCCACTTATGAAATTACATTCTTGAATAAGTTGTCGTATGAGTTCACTTGCAAGTCAGGTAAATCAAGCCATGAAGTTGCTAGTTATGTACAAAAGGTTATCGGTGAAACTCTTTCTTATGAGTGTACTACTTTTACCAGGAAGGATAAGTATATGGCTCTTGACACAATTGTGAAGAATCCTTGAATCAAGGCTAAAATAATAATGGAATTTTTTATTTTGATTGTCCCTTTCAATAATGATGCAAAAAGATTACATTATGAAAGTAATGGATTTAATAAATTGTTGTATAGATTATACTTATGTATATCATGTATCATTTTTATGTGGGATTGAATATGTAGTAATATATTTATTTGATGATATAAAGTTTAAAATAACAAAAGTGTGAATTAGATGAAATTTTTTTGGGTATTAGTATAAAAAATCGTATAAAAATAAGTTTTTTATAAATTTTCATATAAATTTTTAAGAAAATTTCCATATAATTTCCATTTTTTTATATTGAGTAAATATAGAATTATTAAACTGGAAACGTACATATTGTTTATTTTTATTATATACTCCCTCAATTTCATACTAAGTGAATTTTTAGAGCAATGAACACCTATTAAAAAAATACAAGGACATGATATTGACCATATTTTCTAATATTATTTGTTAAATATATATATATATATATATCCACTTTCGTTGAGAATATCATTAACTAATAAAAGAATGTTTTCTCTAATGGCTTAAACTTTTAGATAAGATAGTCATACACTTCGATATTGTACTAGAGATAAAACATTTTATGTAACCCTTCATGTTTAACATGAGGGAAAATTACGTGGTAAGTCTAACATGTACAAGTTAATTAGCTCATATAGCTACAGTTCGCATTAATGACAATTTTGAACTTTCTTCTAGCTACAATTACAGTCTCTCTTGCCTCTCTCCCCTCTCACTCTCTCGCCACTCTCCTCTTTTTCATCAGTCATCTCTCCCACGCCTCTTTTATCTCTCTGCCCAGTCTCTCTCTCAATTCTCTTATATCAATCTCTCTCTCACTTTATACAAACACAAATGACATATAGAAAGTATTTGTCTATTTATTCGAGTTTTAAGTATTTACTTGTTCAAAAGAAAAGTTGGACGACATAAATGTGAACTGAGACCAAGTTAATAAATATTTTGGTACATACTACAAAATTTGAGCAAAAACTACTAGATCCGCCTCCGGAGTTATAAATAAACTTCCTTCAAACAAAACTACTACTACTACAAATAACCTCTTGAGTAGAAGAGAAATTCCAAGATAGTAAAGATGGAAGTAGAAAGAAAACAAAGTGTAATACTGGTGCCATGCCCATACCAAGGGCATTTAACACCAATGCTACAGCTTGGTAATATCCTTCATTCACAAGGCTTTTCTGTTATAGTTGCACATACTCGACACAATGCTCCTAATTATACCAATCATCCTCAATTCGTCTTCCATTCTATGGATGACGGATTACAGAGAATCGACATGTCATTCCCTAGTGTGGAAACTTTATATAGTATGAACGAAAACTGCAAGGTACACTTGAGAAATTACCTCGCTGCGATGATGGAAGAGGAAGGTAATGAGCTCGCTTGTATCATTTATGACAGTGTCATGTTCTTCGTCGATGATGTAGCTACTCAGCTAAGGGTTCCTACCGTTGTCTTGTACACTTTCAGTGCTGCATTTTTGCACTCTATAATCATGATTTTACAGCAACCAGAAAAATATTTTCCTTTTGAAGGTACGCGAACAGTTACAATTTACACATCCTCTGTTTCAAAGTTTAAATTTAAAAAAAAATATATGTTTTTCTTTCATTCCGTTCTGTTTTTAGTTAAGTATGTATTGATTACTCACTAGAATTCCAGATTCTCAGTTGATGGATCCGTTACCAGAGCTTCATCCCCTCAGATATAAGGATTTACCATTTTATGTCGTCAATAATAAAATTCCAGAATGGGATCTAGAGTTTCATAGAGCAACGTGTGATATAGGATCATCTGTCGCGGCTATTTGGAACACGATGCAAGACTTGGAGGATTCAACATTGTTACGCCTTCAAGAACATTACAAGATGCCCTTTTTTCCAATAGGACCTTTTCACAAAATGGGGCCTTTGGACTCATTGAGTAGCATATTTGAAGAAGACAACAGCTGCCTCGAGTGGCTCGATAAACAAGCCCCTAACTCTGTTCTCTATGTAAGCTTGGGTAGCCTGGCGATGATTAATGACAAAGAGCTAATCGAGACTGCTTGGGGATTAGCTAATAGTGAACAACCGTTCTTGTGGGTTATTCGACCTGGATCTATATCTGGATTTCAATATGCTGAGGCACTTCCTGATGGTTATGAAGAAATGGTAGGAGAAAGAGGACGGATAGTGAAATGGGCGCCACAAAAACAGGTGCTTGCACATCCCGCGGTAGGAGGGTTTTACACACATTGTGGTTGGAATTCTACGGTTGAAAGTATTTGTGAACAAGTCCCTATGATATGCAGGCCATTTATAGCAGACCAACTGGTGAACGCGAGATATCTGAGCCAAATATATAAGGTTGGATTTGAAATAGAGGTAATCGAGAGAACGGTCATAGAGAAAACAATAAGAAAACTCATGTTAAGTGAAGAAGGGGAAAATGTGAAGAAAAGAGTAGTAGACATGAAACAAAACATTGTTGCTGCTATGGAGATTGATGGTACTTCACATAAGAATCTCAAAGATTTAGTAGACTTCATTTCTGCCTTGCCATCACGACTCCCTCCGCCAACGCCTGTTGTTGTAGGGTCCTGAAGTTAAGAACAATTACATATATTTGTTGCCTGCTAGCTTGGCAAGACAACAAGTTCTCTAATCACAAAAGGAAGAATAAACTTTTCCTAATATCTTGGTGGCTATGTCAATGCCATTGGGCCTATGCTAGTTTCTCATCTTAGTTTGTTGATTTTGGTTTAATAAGTTTGGAAACTTTGACATATTGTTTCCTTTTACTACATTTATGATAAATTGTTTTTAATTGCTTCTTACCTTCCTTAAATTAAACGTATCAATGCATATTCATATGATATATTAACCTATATCGTTTCGTTTTCAAATTGTTACTAATCGGCGTTGAAAGGGCAGCGAGTAATAAGAAACATCGACAAATCAAAAGTCATCCATGAACGTAATTAGAAAATTTCAATAAGTGGAGATTTACTCATTTTTTTGACACATTAGATGTATCTTACACATATTATGTGTATCAGTGTGTGCATATTAGGGATACTATTTTCTTAATTACTTTCGCTTATTAAATTTCTATGCCCACGTCTTTCCCATTCATTCGAGGCAAAATACACAATAGAAGTGTGTTATTTTAAATAGCATAATGTCACAATTGTGATAACTAACCCTACCTTTAGAGTGTAACCCGTACAAATTGTCACCCATTGGTGAAATTATTCACCTATGAATATTGAGCATGATCCTATTTACTAAAAGAAATGTTAGTCAACTACTCTAATAAGAGCTTTGGTAATCTTTTTGCATGATATTTAAGAGTTTAAGTTTTATCGTTTAGAGGTAGAGTTAGAATTTTCAAAAATCTAATTGTTTAGGGTTTTAAATAGATTATTTTTACATATTTTATAAATCATTTAATACAAACTTATAAGTTTAAGCAAAAAGTGATGTTATATATCACAACGGGTTCATCACTAAATTTATGCACGTACGTGTAAAAGTTATTTACATAAAAACAATTTTGGGTAATTGTAGTTAATAGAATTTAATTCAGTAATTTTAACGCGGAATATAAATCTATATATAACTTAAATTGCAATAAATAGTATATATGAACCATTAGATTCAATACGCATGGATAAAGGGGCATTGGAATAATCTTAGCTCCCGGATATTTAGAAAATAAAAAGAAAACATAAAAAATAAGATTGAGACAATTTTAAATTTCATTTAGTTTTCTTTACTTGATCGAGCAGTTACAAATTAAGTTATTTCAAAGATCTTTCTAATTGGTCAAATATTAACCACTAATTTATGACGTGTTTTTTATAGTACCAATTGAATTCATGATTAAAACTATGAATCCACCTCCTTCGATTCACCCTAATTTTTATTATTGAGCTAAAAGAGTTCCCTAGCCCTTCAAGTTTACACGTTGATCTCTCTATGATGGAGTAAATTTGAGACAAAGAGTCGATTGTATAGAAAATCCTTCAAGAAGTTATGCATCAAATGTATCATAAGATCGAAAATTTCCCCTATTTCCCCTTTCCCGATCCCCATTTTTATTTAAAATAAATAAATATATCCAGTAATAAAATTATGATCAAATCTTTTTATAACAATATTATTTTGTTACAACAAAATATTATTATAAAAATTTGTAATACAATAACATAGTATTTGATTTCAAACATAAATTTATCCGTCATATAATAATAATTTATTATTTTTTTGGTCAAAATAGTAATAAAATATTTTATGCTTGTGTAAATACTGGGTATGGGTACCTTTTTTTTTTTTGGTGTAAAACCAACTTGAAATCACAATGCCAATTTCCTCTTCTTTATGACAAAATAACTTATGTTGATATATATTATACTTTTCACAATTTTGGAGGTGAAATTTTTTTTTAACTACGATATTTACCATCATTTGGACATTGGTAAATGGAAGATATTTTTTGAAAAAAGTATAGTTAAAAGTTAATGACAAACATTAGTAAATTGGAGAGTGTTTTGATGAAATTATTTAGTATTATAGATTACCATTAATGTCTAAGAACTTTTAATATGAAATTAAAAGCTAAGCTTTGTTTTAGAAAAAATTATTACTCTTCTATCATAAATAATTGAACTCATTTTTTTCCTTTTGGATGGTGAAAACATTTTGTATAACCAAAACCAAGAAAATAACTTTCGTTAAATATTTTGCTAAAAATGACAAACACTTATTAACAATAAGAATTCACGTTTCAACCTATTTTTGAGCGAATATTTATTTATCACATTTTTTTCGTAATTTAAAGTTATTTTATTAATTGACTCCACACGATTTGAAATGACACCCAAAAAAAATGTATATTATCTTAACGGACCTACAATACTAAATTCCATTTTTCAAATTAGTCAACATATATAATATATGTCAAGAATTTTTTTCTTGGAAAATTCTTGTAAGGTATCAACAATAATTCTAGAGGAATTGAAATATATGAAATTTCTCTGTTCAGGTCGGTATAGTTCAATTATTGGACCAGTACATAACATCAATTAATGTCACCTGCCCCATAATACATTTAAAAATAATGTGTGATAATAGAAAAATAAATTATCGTCAAAAATTAAAAAAAAAATCAATTTATCTTAGAATTAATTAGTAAACTGTTGCAATTCGAGATTAATTTCACATATAGTCATTTGATTTTACTTTATTGCACCACAATCATTCAATTATTTGTTACACTAAAAAAATTATTCAACTTTACCTAAGTATAACCAAACGCAAACGTCACCTAAACTATTACTTAATAGTAAAAAAAGTCAATCAATTTTATCTTATTATAATTTAAGGCCATATATAGGTAAACTTTGAGGGAAAAAAAAAGGACTCGTAACCAAAAGTCACTCAAATAGTTTCATAACTTTCTATGATACATATTGACATAATTTAATGACTACTTTTTTCTAAATTAATTAGTGACTTAATTATGTGATCAACATAAAATACGTAGAAATAATAATTGGTGATTAATGTCATGGTAAAACACGATAGCATTGGTATAGATCGTTAGTATAACTAATGTAATAATTAATTCAATTAGTTTTATGGTTGACATGCATGTCGGTAATTATTTTATTAGACAATAATTAATTAGTAAGAAGATTGTAAAATGTCTACTCAATAATAAAACATGGACTTACGTTCACACTGATTATTCAATTTAATTTGTCTATCTGTATGTTTTAAGTTTTCACATTGAGTCATCCGTTTTAAGTTTTTCTCTTTCGAAATTTTGAGTTATAAATTTTGAATCCTAAAAAATATAAATTATACAATTTTAGTTAAAATTATTATTTTTAATTAAATTCGTAATTGATATTCTAACTTCGGTTTGGTCCGTATATATGTGTGATTATAGACTGATAAAAATATACATGAGGATTAAAAATATTCAAAGTATTTAGAATAAATTTTAGCTGATTTACCTCATGTATCTCGAGATATATGCATCTAGAAGTATCTAGATTCATAAAAATTCGTAATATTGTAAACTATATATATATAGTAATTAGCTTCTAACTAGTTAAATTTTTATATATTGCACCTGTAATGTTAAGTTTAATATTAAATTACACAGCATAGATGACAGATGGAGCTCAGTCCTTATTACGTACATTAACATAATTCATAAATGTGTCATTTAGTTTAGTTATCCTGCGTATGCCACTGCTTTTAATATAGCTATATCCTATAGCTATAAGACTTTAGAAGCTTTTGATTTTTGTAACATTTGTGTGCCTAATCATAATTAAAGGCTTGTGTCGATAATGATGAAATAAGATGTTTAAGTTAAGTTATTTTTAATTTAAAAAAGAAATAAAACTAAAATAAGGCCACTTAACGAAAACGATGGAATGTATATCTAAACTTTACAAGATACATAAAAGAGAAAATTAACTAAAATGTAAGCAGACATTAAATTGGATAATGTAACAGAGAACCATTCATATTACTTAATTAATTGTATGTATATTTGATTAATTCAATTAATTCAAGCTGGTTTGGTCTGGTCAGTTTAGACCACCTCACCCTCTTAACCACCTCATCCTGTCATTTAATAAAAAAAATCAAAAAAATAATTAATTTAATTATTTTTATTAAAAAAAATGATGATGTGATCGAATTATAATTAGTCACGTGTTAAAAATGGTTTTGTAAAACCATTGTTAAAAAATAAATGACATGAATGAATCTTTTCTTTCACGATAATGACATAAATGAGCCAAATTTTTTAACGGATGACATAAATGAACTTTTTCTGAAAGTTCAATGACATTTAAGCATTTTCCTTTTTTTCTGACAAACTTATTAGTAGATAAAATGTATAGCGGTTTTTTATTCGAAATAATAAATCTCACTAGGTATAAATATAAACAACGGAATTTAAACCTTATCTTACCGGTCAATCATAATACAATAAGCACAATCAAACCATGCAATATATAAATTGAAAATGATAGATATATCATGTGTGTATAGTTAATTTATGGAATAAATTTAAGTTCACATATGATTCAATGATTTAATAAAGCGAATACATTAATTAATTAACTATGATTATTGTCAAAAATGCGTGTATATTAAACACTCGAGTATTACACTAAACTATATTAAAATAACTTGAATTTAGTATTTATAATATATATAAAAAAGTAAATAATAATTTTATATATTAATTTCTTCTGACCCTGACTCTGTCCTAAACAACTTAGTAAAAGTAATTTAGTTGTAATAATGTTTCAAATTAAAAAAAATGAATATAATATAAATAATTGTATAGCCAATTCTAAGTTAAACTAAACTATATCTACCAAGTTGGAATGAGCCTATAAAGTGTATAATATTGCACCAAATTTAAGACCAAGTAAAAAAAAATTCACCAAATCCAACTGCTTCTTAACTGATAAAACCAGATTCCTTATACGTGGCATCCATCCATTAACACATGCAGAAAAAAAAGTATAATTAAAAAAGGTCAATCCAAATATCTTCCCTCTTCAATTATTGAACCCTTCTTCTTGAAAATTATACTAGGTAAAATAAGATTTTAAAAAATTATTGTATATACTAGAGGAGCAAGATTTTGTTTTAGATATTTTAGCTATACACGAATTATTATCTGATATAATTCGCATGTATATGATCTATGAGATTTTATATACGCAAAGGAGGCGGTGAATGGAGTATAGGTGTATAAAAAATCTTAATAAGATTCGTAATCTCATAAAGGTAAACT